AAATACTGTCTATCTTTTCTATATGCAGCCCTCCCACTTACTATGCAAATCAGGCTAGTCTGTGTTCTATAACACTAACAAAGCTTATTTTCCAAATCAAAAAATTGAAAAAAAAAAAAAAAAACAATACATCATTGTATACAAGTATCTTGTTAAAGTATTGTGTAAGCAGGTTTTGCCGAGGCCTGCTTTAAAAGTCAATACAAGTAGACAGGATCCAAAAAGAGCTGCTAAATAATGAAAACCTAATTGATGACATTGTTTGAGATAAAAGACAGGTAAACACTGAAGTCTATTGTTGTGTCTATATAATGAGCTCCAAAAGACAAACAAAAATTCAGATTTTCAGATATTTATATAGCTTTTTTTTTACCCTAATGAGCTGAAACATCCCAAAAAACAGATAAACAACTTCTTAAAAGACTCAATTTTCACTGCAAACTCTCAACATTTAGGCCAGAAAATAGGTTGTAGCTGTGTTTTGGGTTCAACATAAAAAAATACATATTTTTCACTTTTAAAGCAACAGCAGTTATCAGAAACTTGTAACTACATGTCTAGCACAACTCTGTGAACAAAACAATCCTAAAATGACCTTTACAACAATGCATAAAAACTCTTTCCTGATTAGTCAACCTCTCTTTCTTCGAACTAAAAAAGGAATACGAAAAAGGGGACCAGTTAGTGCTGTTTGAATGTGTGTATTGTTAGGGCTCTGTTGTTTACAGGTTCCTGTTGTGCTGAAACACATGCTTGACAAAAGAAGGGGACATTTTGAGAACTGCTGGATGGGACAAACTAACTTTGATTAAAACTGCATGTCTCTGACATGTTCCTGGCCTGCACATATCTTTGTTTAGTTCAACTTTGGTGCAGTTATTGTATCTTTCTGGTACTGCAGCTCAACGATTAGAGTGAAAGTAAGGGGCCAGGAGAAAGAAGGAAGAAAAGCAAACAAGTCTCACTCAGCCACTAATCACTGTGCTCCAAAAAGGTCAGGGTAACCAGTCAACCTCAGCTCCAGCCGACAATACTATTGTCTCAAGCCGTCCAAGAGGAAGAAGTGGAGCACAGAGAAAGCATTCTTCCATTTACTAGAGTAAGTCATTAGAGACATCTAATTAGCTTGGTGCATCAATCTTCAACACTGGAAATTTCTTTCTCACACTATACATTGCAGTTAACACCATAAATGAGTTTTCATTCCAGATTTCACTTAATTGTTGTTACTGCACCATGGCTTCTGATAAACATAATCGTCAACTTGAATATACAACCTAAACATAAATTAAATCCATACTGTACAAAAATAAACATTTTACTTTAAAGATAGACTTTTTTTATCTCTTAATATTCTCTTTTCAGAACTCTCCAAGTGGCATTTGTGGTTTGCCCTATCATGTAAAATATCTAAATGCCATTAAAATGAGAAATATATATAGTATAAAGACCCTTTTACTGAGATATTTCTGAATAAGTTTCTCTGTTTAGTTTAATTTGAATTAATTGACTATCAAAATAATCAATAGCTCAAGCCCTACAGATATCAGTCTTGGACCTGATACAAATGTCATTCTTGAGGTCACTCAACCATCCAGTGTTCTACCTGCCGCATTTCATTTATAATGGGCTGTAAACGCTGTCAGTTGTTAAACTTACACTGTAATTAGGCTGTTACACTGTCTGTTGAGCAATGTAGCAACTGTGGAAATGATGAATTGGAACTAATTTACCTGCTTATTTGCACATATACATTAGAAACCCGTCTTCTGCAGGACCTCAAGTCAGCCCTATGAAAACATATCATTTGACAGTAACAGTTGTGCTTGTTCAGGTGTACATATCTAGGTTCAGCATTTCCCCTATCATTATCCAAGGCATGCGCCTTATTACTCTCTCACAGGTGCAGACTTGCGCTGCACTCCAGCAAGTGAACACATATTCTCCAGCCAACAGACAGAGAGATCATTTGGAGGCAGGCTGGGGTGGCCATAGGTAGAGGTGGAATGATCCAGGTCCAAAAAATAAAAAGCCTGTACAGAGATTAGATCCAAACATTTGCATTTCTAGCTCCATGACACAGACTGAGGGGTAATAACCTGTTTAAGTGAACAGGATAAACTTTCTGGACCTATCTGCCTCTGGTAGAGAGGTTTGAATGGATTCCAAAGTGGCCAAAAAGGACAATATTTAGGTTTTCTTTATCTACCCCACAAAGCACAGCACTGTTACTCTGCCCTCGTGTAGCTGGGGCAACATTAAAGATGCTGTAGGAGATCTTGGAAAAACAGTTCCAGCAAGCTATATTTTTGAACATACACAACCATGCTTCTCCCTACAGACCACCCATCGAAACCACACCTTCAAAACATATGAACGTGCATGCTGTCTGTCGAGGTGTTCAGATCAGATCGAGAACGAAACAAGCTGAGACCGAGTGCTTGTGACACAAGCTAACAACAGCAAAAGCAGCAAAAGGTGCTGCAGAGCGTCTAGAGCAGCAGGAACAGCACGTCTGAGCAGCTAAAGCAGCGCGTTGCTGATCTAGGAGCTGGCAGGGAGACAGGCACAAGGCTGGTGATGCAGAGCGCTATGATCACTCCACTGAAACTGCTTATTAAAGGAATAGTACACCCAAAACATGATTAGCCTTCATTTTCTACTCACCCCCATGCTGAACAACACCCTGGAGTACTTTTTTGATATCTCAAATGCATCTGGAGATCTGGGAGGCTTCTTGCTGTCTGCTGACATTCAAATAATGGAGGTCTATGGTGTCCGAGACAGAAAGGTCCATAAAAGTCCACAAAAAACGTGTCAATATTCCTCCATACTGCTCGTCCAATGTATTCCAAGTGTCCTGAGTGGGTAGTGTCCATAATTTACTCGAAACGAAGTCATTTAGAATGTTTTTAGAGCATAAACAGTAGTGTATAGGATTTCCTGAAAGGGCGCACATGCGCGTTCACGAGCCTACGGAAGCCGGCAGACCAAACCAGATGAAAGTGCGCATTCAGCGTCTGCTCTGCCAATAATGCAAGCGTAGAAGAAGAAATGTGCTGTTTACCTGTGCAAAGAAAGAAACAACGAAAGAAAAATGTCTGAGGACTTCAGTGTTGAGGAAGAGCATGAGTTCTTTGCCGAGCTGAATGCGCTGGTTTGGTCTGCCGGCTTCCGTAGGCTCGTGAACGCGCATGTGCGCGCTTTCAGGAAATCCTATACACTACTGTTTATGCTCTTAAAACATTCTAAATGACTTAGTTTCGAGGAAATTCTGGATGCTACCCACTCAGGACACTTGGAATACATTGGACGAGCAGTATGGAGGAATATTGACACGTTTTTTGTGGACTTTTATGGACCTTTCTGTCTCGGTCACCATAGACCTCCATTATTTGAATGTCAGCAGACAGCAAGAAGCCTCCCAGATCTCCAGATGCATTTGAGATATCAAAAAAGTACTCCAGAGTGTTGTTCAGCATGGGGGTGAGTAGAAAATGAAGGCTAATCATGTTTTGGGTGTACTATTCCTTTAATGCCTAAATTAACTTACAATGCCAAAATCTGCCGGCAAAACACGTTTGCTTTTATTATCCTGGTGCCTGCATTTTAGAATCCATACATGAAAGTAAGTAATCCAAAATACGCCTTCTAGCCGCCACGGCAACCCGTGAAGCAGCTACCGGGCCATAGGCTGTTGCTGAATAGGATTCCAAGTGACAGCGCACCGCCGGTGTACGGGGGTCTGAGCGGCTTCGTCCAAAATAATATTTGGAGGCAGGATGGTTATCTGGATGAACTGACTGCACTGACAATGTTTTCAGGTGGACTTTTTCACCTCAAAATAGATTCAAACTACTTTTTACCCACTGATCACAGCAAATATAGCTGCCATTGTTACAGACAAAGAAAGGATAGGGTAGCTCGGCCCAGCGCATCAGACCCACTTTTTCCACCGCGCAGCCAGAGCAGCAGAGATGCTTCAGCTGCGCATCAGAACTATACTTGTATAAGCATAAAAAAATGAGGCAGCACGTGCGTTTTTGCTGCTCTTGCTGCTTTAGGTGTGAACGTAGCATAACAGTGTATAGCTTCCAGCTATGGCGTGCTGCACAAGCATTGGGGGGCGTATTTGTTTATTAGTCAGGATACACGCACAGGGGGGAGGGTCAAGCAGACCATGATTGACGTGTCGCGAACCAATAGTGTACAACGGGCCGTGTTTTATGATTGGTGGACGTTACTCATTGATTTTACACTATAGCTAGGACCTTTTATTTTAGTTTCACTCCTAGGCCTTCTTTTTCACTGTGGGGAGATCTTCAAGTCACATGGTAAAAAATGTGTCAGAAAAAATTTCCTACTGCACCTTTAAAACTGGGTCAATCTGATATTTTGCATATTAAAGGAATATACAACTGGCCAATATGGAAGACTGGGAGAAAAAAGAACGTATGGAATAGGATAAGTTAGCAAAGATGCTAAAGAGATGGATGGAGAAGACAATATGAAAAAAGACACATTTTAATTTTTTTATCTTCAGCAATTTTATATCCTTTTATATGCTTTGAACATGTTTTCTGAGGGTGCTCCTTTTTATTGCTCCACACACACTGGTTCTGTTGTTTTGGAAGTCCAAATTTGTCAACATTTATTCTGAATGTTTAAGCTGACAGAAAAAATAAAATAACTTTGCATGTTTAAGATAAAGTATACATATTTACATATACAGAATAAATGTTGAGGTAACAGGCAGCTGCTCAACATCAGCTTTTAATATAAATCCATGTTGAGAAGGGGAAAATAAATGATACGGGACCATTTAAGGTATGCCAGCCTGTTATAATAGTAACTAAGAATAGAACTATACAGAAAAGCAGCAAAAGGCTTTTTAACTGGACATGCCCAAACTGAAAACTGTAAGAGATACAGAGATACACAGAATGTTTTTCACCCTCTAACTAGCCATACATTGTGTCTTTATAAATGCTTCAACTTACCATCAAAGGTTCTGTAACTGTGCAAAAGCGAGCTCTGTAAGGGTCGTTTAAATTCTCTGAGAAGTCCCTCCGTTTCCCTGCGGGTAAGCGTAGCAAGCTCTCCCTCCATCTCGCTGGTGCAGCAAGTGTAACCCTGAGGACAAATGCGCAGGTGCTCCCCTGGTAGAGGAAGAGCACAAAGGGTAAAAAAGTTAGGGAAAGAAAGGAGAAATGTAAAGAAATGAGAAAAGTAAATTAATGTAAATTAGCACAAAATGCATGACGCACAGCTGTCTAAAGATTTTGATAGGAAAAAAGTAATAAATCAGCTTAAACTTACTGCATTTGCTCTGTCTATGACATAAGTGCATAAATACATAAAAAATATAATTTTATGAAGAATCAAAGCATTCACAGACGAAATAAAATATGTTAATATCTTCTGAGGCATAAATGATTATGACCAACACTTTGAATATTCCTTCTGAGATTGACTTAGTTGGAATAAAGACAAAAACACACACACACACGTATGATAATTCTAGCTTGACAATAAAGGCTCTCCATTGCCTTCTGTTGTGATTTGTTATGCAACTAAGGCCACTTTACAGGGCTTCTCGTTTCTATAGCTGTTATCAGAAAAGTAAGTGCATTCTCTTCCCATAAAAATGAATTTAATTAATACGATAAGAACACAGTATGGGGATAACATATCTGATCCAATGATTTTTCAATAGCATTTTCTGGGTATTTTATAAGTCCCGGTATAGTGCAGATAAAGCCGATGATGCTAATATTTCTTAGTATTTACACAGAATTCTTTTACCAACCACTGTGGTTAAGGATTTATCTAGCTTAGATTCTGTAATCACACCAAAGTGGATCTGGACTGCAATGATATGGGTCTCCCTTCCAACCCAGAGTCAACTCTATAAAAATAAAAATTCTTCCTGGATTGAACTATTCGTTTTAAAATCGTATGTTATTTAACACCAGCATTTTTGAAATCTCATAATTCTTGTGTACCTTGCTATATTTGGAATAATGAACATCCAAGAGTTAAGGATGTTAGAGGCCTTTCACTACATTCAGTCTAACTCAAAATGATGTCAGATTTGTTTTTTACTTTGAAATCCTATGGTTAGGCCTTTAATATCAACCTTGTTAACCCAGGAGACTTATTTCCCTTTATTGTATTAACAATATAGATCAGTTCAATTATCTTAAAATAACCTATCTTTTAAAGTACATTACTTGTTTTGAGTGATGTGGAAAAACATTTAAATATTCTCCTGTCATCTATTTCTGATCTCCAGATTTACTAGTAAAGATTAAAAGTACTGGTTTTCTGAAGTGGGTATCTATGCGCCTGTCTAACATCATGGACCTGTTGGTTTCCAACTTAAATCATTTAAACAAGGAATGACTTAAATATTTCTCACAAAGAAATCCCCACTGTAGCTGCATGCATGCTCTGTATGAGGATTTGCTGAAGAGCTAATGATAAAATGCAAGCCTGCAAGCTCTTTCAGGTGGAGCATGTCTTCCATGTCAATGACTGGATGCAATCAACTGGTTTACCTTAACAGAAACCTTTAACCAATGTTACTGCATTTTCTCTGTAAAGTGCCTTGAGATGACATGTTGTGAAGTGGCGCTATATAAATAAACTGAATTGAACTGAAAGAATTTTACAAATACATTAAAATTTGCCAACTTTTAGGGTCCCCTTTTGAGAACAGTCAATATGATTGTCCAAGCTGGAAAACACAAGATTTTTTGTCTAAATCGTCCGAAAGGTTAATTTAAAAAATCTATGCTTTATTTTGATTACTCTTGAAGTTATGAATTTCTGAATCCGTTATTGGAGGTGGTTGTGATGTTTAATCCTTTGTTTGGAACAAGACATGTAATGGGCTTTTCCCTAGATGTACTTCAACCTTAATAGAAAAACAGAGCTTAAAACATTTTTCAAAACTTATTACACATCCATTTGCCTCCAGAAAATGTTCCCTTGCAACTTCAACCTTTGTTATAAAATGTTGTAAAATACATAAAGAGAAACTTGTTCTTGTCATCCAACTATATTCAAACTTTCAGGTAGAGGTAGATTCTGTAATCCAAGAGATCAATGGTAAAACGTTTCTGCTTAATTGTTCTTCCTTTCTTCTTAGTAATATCCGAGACAATCTTTTTGATGCAGATAATAAATTTATGTTGATTTTTTTTTTTTTATTCCTGGGTAAAAAAAAAAAATGTTGCTAAGGTGGCCAGCTACCCAGTTCCATACAGTCGACATGTAGATAACACAGATTTCTGCTTTCATTCCTTTTTGAAAAATTGATTCATGACCTTAATGTTAGTTTGGACAGGTTAGGGAAGATCTGGAATTAAAGCTACAGTGTGTAATAATTACAGGCATATAAATTCAGAAATTTAATATATTATACATAACTATGTTATTTATCATCACCTATGAGCTCAGCCTTTTAACAATAACATTTGCGTTGCCTTAGAATTCGTTATTTATAATTACATAGGAGCGGGTCTCGCAGCCATGGAGGCTGACATCTTTGCGCTACGGCAGCGCAGAGGCAACAAACTAGCGATTGCGAGATCTCCCATGACGCTCGAAAATAACTACGGCAAGTTGAGAGAGATGAACTGAGACGGTACTGAACAGTAGATGGCAGTATTATGCCTGAGAAGCGTTTAGTCTGCCTGAAACCAAAGAAGAAGAAGAAGGCGGTATACTGCGCCTCGGTAACAAGAAAGGTAAACAAGGCGGCAGGCGTGAGTGACTTTGCAAACTGTTTGGCACTGTGTGGCCAAACATCAGACGAATGGAGGATCATGCCTACTCTGTATCACAACGAAAAGCGGCGGACACCGAACCCCCGTCATCTAAGAAGCGGAAACACGACGAGAATAAACGCAAGAGTGACAAGAAACGACAAAAAACACGGATCAACATTGGCACGGCATTTACACGATGGAAGTCACTGATGGAGGAAAAAGGTTTTCAAAGTGACGCTCAAGTTGCCAGTTTTCTCTTGGACAGGTAATTAATCCTATACACACAATTGTCTAATATCACTGCAGTTTTTGGAGTACAGGATGCTCAGACCTGTCTAAAACAATAACATGCTGCGTGATGATGCTGTTACTCTCCAGTATACTTATTCAGCAACGTCCCTGACGTTTCACAGGTAATGATTCAGTAATTTTCTGTAAAATAATTTTCTGGATATATACCTCGGTTACTTCTCTCCGGCTCCTTTCGAGATCTTCAAGCCTTTCCTCCTCTGCTCTCACCCCGCTGGCTCCCCTCTCTCGCCTGGCCCCAGCTGCACGCTCACCCCGGCCTCTCTGCCCTCTTCCTTTCCCTCTTCCTTGCCTTGTAACCCCCGTGCCACAAACAAGACTTGGACTCTGTAAACGGGGAATATATATTCTTCCAGCGAACACAATCTCGCTGTTAAACTAATGACTACAATTACTTCGTCTGTTTATATCACCATGCAAAGCAGCTCACCAAAACGTCACAACGACGTAGAAAAAATAACGGGTATATTTATTATCTTAAGTCTACATGAAATCTATACCCTACACAGACTAATGAAATACTATCTGTAAAATTATCTATGTAAACAAACCTCATCACTTGAGAAGGTAGGTGATGCGGACGTCGTGGAAGACATTTTGTCCCGTAACGCTCGCCGTACTGTTGGGGGGGAGAAGCGGTGGGGGGGAGACGTTCATGTTGCTGCAGTCTGCAGTCTGACCGCTAGATGTCGCTGAAAATTACACACTGTAGCTTTAAGAAAAGTGGATCTGAATTTATATCTACAGAAATTGTAACTCATCATTTGTCCCTTGAAGAGGTGTACTAATTGTTGTTTTATGTTTAATTTGATATATTTCTGCTTATTTCACAAATATTATTTATTTGCTTGCCTCCTGTCTATGAGGTGCCCCCAGGGACATAAATCAGAATTAACTTGCATATACACATATTAAATTACACTCTTCCATATAATATACTGAAAACCTCACACAAACACTAGTAAAAAGCTCTCACATAAACTAGTGAAAACATTTACCTCTTATATAATCTACTCAAAAGCTCTCATACAAAGTAGTGAGAACTGTTCATATAAACTGGTGAAAAGCTTTACCTTTCATACACACTACTAGAAAGCTTTCATATACACTATTAAAAAGCTCTCATATACACTACTAGAACGCTCTCATATACACTACTAGAACGCTCTCATATACACTATTAGAAAGCTCTCATATACACTATTAGAAAGCTCTCATATACACTACTAGAAAGCTCTCATATACGCTATTAGAACGCTCTCATATACACTATTAGAACGCTCTCATATACACTATTAGAACGCTCTCATATACACTATTAGAACGCTCTCATATACACTATTAGAAAGCTCTCATATACACTACTAGAATGCTCTCATATACACTATTAGAACGCTCTCATATACACTATTAGAAAGCTCTCATATACACTACTAGAATGCTCTAATATACACTATTAGAACGCTCTCATATACACTAGTAGAACGCTCTCATATACACTATTAGAACGCTCTCATACACGCTACTAGAAAGCTCTCAAACACACTACTGGAAAGCTTTCATACACACTATTAGAAAGCTAAAATATATGGTCCCCCTCCTTTAATTTAGGCAAACATTGCTCAAATATCACCGAATCCAGATGGTTTGTTGTTGATGAAGAGAGGAATAAACACAGTTTAAGATTTGCAGCTAAATTAATTTGTTTCCATATTATGGAACTGCTATCAGGCACTTATCAGTAATAAAAAATTATAAATACAAATTTGGTATTTGGTGACTTGACTTTTATTTCTGTCAGGCTGAAGTGAAAAAACTTGGAAAGAGACTGATTCTCTTGGCGTTTAAAATAACAACACAAAACAGCATAAGAAAACCGCATTTATTTTTTTTATTTTACAATTTTGTAAACAACAGCGGCTGATTAAACTAAATGTCTCAACCTTGTATAATTTTTATTTTTTTGACTTTTTTTGACTATATTTTTTTGACTATATTTTTGACTTTTTATTTAACCAAGAAATGATCCGAAAGGCCTGGGAAATGATCAGATCCGCTTATGTGGCTGCAATGCG